ACTGATTTATGTGAAAGTTTTTTGCACTTCTTTATCGATCGTATATCCGAGGTCCGGAATAATATACAGCAGTGTACATATGATGGTACATCTGTGCCATCATATGCACTAGAAACGATCGTTAACTTATCGCAATTTGAGCCTATTTCTATCCCTATTTTTAACAATATGGTTTCTAAGCTGAAATCCACTTCTGCTCCCCAAGACATTTTTCCGACATCTCTGTTAAAGCAAACCATAGAATCGGTTGGCCCATATATGGTTGCTATAATTAATAAAAGTTTACTCTCAGGGATTGTCCCCGAGTATTGTAAACATGCCGTAGTTCAGCCTTTGCTGAAAAAAGAAAATCTAGATAGGAGCGCTCTTTGCAACTATAGACCTATCTCAAAACTTCCATTTCTGGCAAAGATCCTAGAGAAATGTGTTTTGCCTCAAATAGAGGCATTTATTGATGAAAATCATGTTGGTGAAGTACTTCAGTCGGGATTTAAGAAGCACCATAGTACTGAAACAGCTCTATTGAAGGTCTTTAATGACATCTTTTTGGCAACCGATCAAGGGAATGTGACTGTTCTCCTGCTGTTGGATCTCACAGCGGCGTTTGATACGGTTGACCATAATATTCTTATCTCCCGGCTTGAAACATGTGTAGGCATTTCTGGCAATGCCTTAAATTGGTTTAAGTCCTATCTCTTGTTGAATTGATTGTTTTTGGTCCCTCTGACCTTGAAAATACACCCGAAGCCAAATTGGGTCCTCTGAGCCTGTTTAGAAAACATCATGTAAAAAATATGGGGATTAAATTTGACAAACAGGTAAACGAAATCGTTAAAACGAGCTTCTTTAAACTGAGGATGATTTCAAGAATTAAGCCTTTTTTATCCCATAAAAATCTGGAAAAAATAATTCATGCATTCATCACTTCAAGAATAGATTACTGCAATTCTCTATATTATGGTGCCCAAAATAAAGTCTTAGATAGACTTCAGATGGTACAAAATGCGGCTGGAAGTCTGTTGACAGGCACTCGCAAATTCGACCATATTACTCGGGTATTAAAATCACTACATTGGTTGCCTGTCACTTTTAGGATTCAGTTCAAAATGTTGCTTTTTGTATTCAAATCTCTACATGGGTTAGCCCCATCCTATATTGCAGATCTAATCCAGGAACAAAAGTTGATGAGATCACTACGATCAAATTCTCAGAAACGCCTTGACGTTCCTCGGTCAAAGATGAAATCTAGAGGGGATCGCGCATTTGTGGTCGCAGCCCCTAAATTATGGAACAGTTTACCTCTATATATTAGGGACCTTCCTACACTTAGTCAGTTTAAAAGTCACTTGAAAACCTACTTTTTTATGATAGCGTTCGATCAAGATAAGCGTGAAGGGTGCTAGTGTTTTTCATTTTTCTTTATAAATACATGTTGTTGATTGATGAAGCCTATATTACCTAATTAGATATGTGGATGTACATTTTTTTTCTTTTATTCCTCTGTCTATGGTTTTATTGTCTGTACAGCACTATGGTCAACTCTGTTGTTTTATTCAGTGCTTTATAAATAAATTTGAATTTGAATAAAATATAACTCCAGTAAAATGATAATTAGTCCTGGAGTCAGTCCCAGCATGTTTCTCTAAGTGAAACGGTCTGAAGTTAGCAGTTTCCCCGCCGAACACGAGATCCAGCACCACTACCGTGGACACGGGAGGACAGACACCGTCTGCTTACACTTGTTTTAAACCAGTTTCAGGGATTAAAGTTCTCCGTCGCTACGACGGATTTCCGTTAATTGCAGCGAGTCTATGACGGATATCCATCAATTGCAGGGTTCCCGTCTGCCCTTATGTCTTAAATTAACTTTTCATAATTTTAAGGCCGTAAATAGGCTTTCATTTCGCAAACGGTGTGATAAATGTCTTAATTTTAGTTTGAATAGGTCTTAAATTAAGGAAAGATGATGCGTATTCACCCTGCTGAGGGGGGATGTGATAAAGCCTGGAGTGGAGCGAAAGCACGTAACTCCGGTTATCAACTCTGCCTTTTTTCATCAACACCACTGTGCCTCTTTTCATTTATAAATGAACATAATTATTATCATAAACATATAAATGGACACACAAATGTGGTTCAGGCAACGCACATTGATTATCATATATTTATAACAACACGAAATATAGCTAAAACACAAACCTGCTTCTTTTTGTTTTCATTTTAAAAATATGAAACATTATTTATCATTAAAACTGACATTTAACAAACAGACAGGGTTGTATCATTTTATTGTATTATGCGTACACATACAGTGAAGAGAATGCATAGTAATATAATATTTTATATATTTTAGAATATATAAAATTACACAACCATGTCTCTTTTTTTGTTAAATGTCAGTTTTAATGCTAATATCCCGTTCAAAAGTATAAGTAGCCTAATAGGTAGGCTATAATAAGCTATACAATGAGAAATAAAGCAAACAATTCAGTTAAACATAAGTCAGCTCTCTAATAGGCTACAAAGTTAAAGTTAAATATAGCCTACATAATAAAGTTATAAAACTTCACTTTGCCCTCAGCCAAAACAATTTGCCATGGCACAAACTATATATTAATATAGTTTAGCATTGTTTGGTCTCATAAGATAAATAAAAACATGCACTGAAAAGTTATGTATATGGTTGATTATTTGTCAAGATAAGTAATTGTTTTTCATAGATTAAAATAGCTTTTAAACTGGCAGTAGATCGGTTTTAAACATCTCCCCTTAAAACGCTATTGGTCTCGACTATTTAAATAAAGTTACAGGAATATGACTTGGCCTGAAAAAAAAATCAGTCAGAAGAATTTTTTTCACTTTAATCCCTGCAGTTTAAAATTAGGCAGTGTTGTAGATGTAATTAAAGTCAAAATTAAGTATCTGTTCTGAGTTTGTGACACCACAGAAAAATGTGTTATTAGCCACCCAGCCAAATTTGAATGATAAAAAATGCTGGGAAGTGCATAAAATAAGCTATCAAAATCATGAAAAAATGAGCAGTATTCTGTGCTCTCAAACGCTGGGGGCGTGTCCGCTGGCTGCGCTGAAACCACGCCCACTCACGGGAAAGCTGTCGACGGTGATATTACCGTTAGCTGATTAGCTTAGCTTTTTGAGACGGGAGGATGAACACTGAGGCGGGAGATCGTCGTTTCGGCCCCGTTCGCCAGTAACAGCGGATTATCAGTCAATCCAAGTTGTCTCGGAGGAAAGTTTATAAAACTATCCAGTGTAAAACGATCACTACAGAGGCGGGTGTTGCTGTCGGTGATCCTCAGCTCTTCATCACGGTAGGCTCTCTAAAAACCTCTTCTTGATGTGATCGTTTTTAGGGGAATTTAAATGAAGATACCGATCTGTTTTGTACATGATCGCATCCAGGTAGTAGCCCATGCATGTCCGTGTGGAAGGCATAGCTAGCTAGAAAACTGCAGGCTCAGCTGTAGTAACTAATAGTACTGACAGTCACTCGCGATTGAGCGGTGAATGCGAATGTGCTCGGGGAGTGTGTGTGGAGAGAGGGAGATCAGGCTCTGTGCGTCATCAAATAGGGGCGTGTCCAGCAGCTCATGGGCTCCAGTGCGTCATCGAGCCCTGTTTCAGCCCCGCCTAATTAATCCGTAAAATTGCAATGGTGAAAAACTGTTTAACGGTCTAACTCCACATTTCAGTACTTCACAGTTCACAGACTTTGTAATATGTTTTAGCAATACATGTAACATTTATAATGTGTTTAGAACTTTTTTGTAGAATTGCCTTTACAGGGACTTTAATAAATGTTCTGATTTGAAATATAGGAAGATATCATGTAAACAAGTCATTGTCGTGTATTTTAAGGTTTAGATGATTACGTTAATAGTGATTTTTCACTGTAAGTTTGATTTGAGTCAGAAATATTTTTTTTATTAATTACTAATGAGCACTATATTTTCACTTTAGAATACTGTTTCAGGTTCTAAGTAATTCCTGCTGAATTGATTTATTAATTACTAATAAGTTCCCTATTTTTTCAGTTTCCCCCAGTTGTTGCCTCCAATAAATGAATTTACTGATGCATGACATTTAATGTAAAACACAGCGCTGAATTTAACATATAAAAATTAATCTGAGGTTAGTTATGGCAAGGCTCTTGAGTGGGCTTCCTTTCTGAAGTTGATTTCTTGCAGAACACAAAACCACAACGGCAAAAACATCTTTGACAGTTAAATGTCTTTGATAAAATTTTCACAATACTACTATTAATAACATTAGTAAATTCAGAAAGGGTCACAATGTAGTTTTTGGTCACTTCTTAGTAGGGATGGGACGATAACCGGTTTCACGATAAACCGTGATAAAATGTACTGACAGTTAGTATTATCGTTTAAAATTTAATTATCATTAAAACCGTGTTTGATTATCGCGATTTTAATAACTCACTGAATCCTGTCGGCCAGTCTGACGCAGGCGCGCAGCACGCAATATTTATTTAAATTACTATTCGAGAAGGAATGGTGGAAGGCAGTGACCGTGCTCAGGAGATTTTTCAGCCTTTTAAGAGGACCAAATCTGAGGTGTGGTCATATTTTGGGTTTAAACAAAAGTCCTGAGGGAAACTTGATCGAGGATGGTCACCCTGTCTGCCGAACAAAAAGTCACTGCAATAGAAACACTTCAAATCTGCTGAGTCGTCTTGTGTGATCATCACCCGAATGCAAGGCAAGTTAACTTTGACCTTAATACCAAAACTACGTCTGGGAAACAATTGGGCACGAAATGTTGTTTTGAGTTGAAACATTTTATGTCACTCACTTGAAATAGACGTCAAGCTTCCGCGAAGAAAAGTTCATAGCAAGTAGATATATCACACCAATATTATCAAACTCTGTAAGCAATAAATCAACTCTGATTTCATTTTTGCAATATAGTTTTTTGTCCAAAACACACTCCATACTACTGGTTTAATTGGGTGCACTTACCGATCCCTGCCAAAACCCGCGAAAGCATTTTAGACGCTGTTCGTCACTCTCATCCTCAGTCCCACGCAGCTGGATGTAGATATAGTTGGTGGTGCCCGCCAAAAGCCTATCTCCTGTGTAAGTCGTTACTGTGTAGATCACCATGGCTGCTCTGCAAAGGAACGGACAGCGATTTTTAAGAGAAAACACAAACATGATGAGACCAGCAAAGAGTATCCCAGCATACAGAGAGGGAGAGAGAAAGAGAGAGTCTCACCTCTTACTGTAAGAAATGTTACTGCTGTAAGAATTGCAACAACCGCTGTAACTAGATTGACTGTAAAGAGAGAGCAGTTTATGGCATTGAAATTACAACAAAAATGAAACCCATTGTAATTGAACACTCCATTGCAAAGATCTTTAAAGTTTTATTACCAGGTTTCTGCCAAAACAAGGACCTTGTTCCTATGATAATGACCTGAACAAGAAGAAGCCAAGCATTTTATACCTTCCTTGTAATGTATGCATTTTTGTCAGGGTCATGACATCCAATCAAAAGAGTAATACCTTTTTCTTTGTAAAAATAAGGGAAAGTTTAGGATTGTGTTTTTATGGGACGTGCTCTGTAATTTGTGCTTATCTCTTTTCGTTACACTGAATAGAGTCTTATCTTTATCAGATTTATGTGGAAAAACCCTGAGGCAAATTACAGTCAATTTCCAGAAACACCCAGATTGATAATCTTTAACTATACTAACTTCCTAAGTGATAAAGGGGGGGTCTGAGTCAGAGAAGTTTCAAAACATAGTCTTACTATTAAATATTATTAAACAGAGCTAGCTTATAGAGCATCTCTATGTATGGGTTAGTTCACTCGTTCACACTCCTCGAGGAGTCGTTCAAACACATATCTAACAGCTACAGACTGAAACACTGTTATCCGGCACAGTCCTTCAACATCATGCACAACACAGAGAAGACTGACTAGCTGCATTGGGGAAAACTATTATATGTGTCAAATTAAATATAGGCTATTATATGTATTTATGTTGTATTTTTTCTGAGGTAATGTTTCCTCTTTTCCACAGTATCACACAAGAGTGGGTCAACTAATCTTCAAAGATTATAAACAGAAACAGAAGTTCAGAAGGTTGTTGCAATCTTTTAATTTTGTATTGTTTTACCTAACCAATGAAATATTTACTGTTACTCAACATATTTGATGTATCCTGCAACATTTACAATGAGGGCATGAAGAAATATTCGTAGATTCCTCCCGGGAAGGCCCAGCTAAAACACTCAATCAAAGTTGTGGCAAAAAAGCGTCAGTGACAAAAAAGCCAAAGTGAGATAGCAAACAGTGGATCAGTAAACGGACATGATGCAACTCTTCTTAAAGAGGCCATTATTTTGTTGTATTTTCAGCGGTTACATTATGTTGTTTAGCAGTTCCCTTTCAAGGCACATGATGCTGCGTGGAGATTGACGCTGAGGGAACGCGTTGCGCGATGATGTGTTGAAGCACATGTGAAATCAGTCCACTAGTGTGACGGAACGTCAGAGGTGGGTAACGTCACGAACCACCAACCAGGGAACGGTAAAGCCTGCCCAAACAAAGCGGCGGTGGTGATGGCGCAGTGAATAAGACACATGCCTCTCCCACCTCTAGCTGACGTGGTGTGACGAGGCGCTCAAGCTTCTGTGCGACCCGAGAGCAGCAGCGTGAATGCTATCGTTGCTTTTATATGTGTGTTCACGTTCGTTTGTTGTTATGTCGGCGTGCACTTTTTAAACCTTTTTAACGTTTTTTATCTGTTAATCCGGAGCCATGAATTGTGTCTATTTGTCACTCTTGATTGTGATACTTAATCGCTTTACCTGGGGAAGTGATGGCAACGGCAGGGCTGGTCACAGGATTACCTACTCCCGAGAGCTACTGCTTGAACTTCGTCCACTTGCATCTGCTGCTAATGATAACAGTCCATATCTGGTTCGCAGCAAGGAAAGTGCTGCAATAGGGGATATTCACAAAGTCCCCAAAAGTCGACAGAGGAAGAGAGGAAGGAGAGGCGGTGTACAACGCCGATTAAGGAGATGTGGGTTGTCTGATAAACGCCGGCTCCCTCCGCTTCCCACCATTCTTCTCTCTAATGTACAGTCCATTCGGAATAAAACTGATGAACTGGAAGCTTACGCTAGGTGTAAGTGACTTCAGAGACACATGCCTGCTAGCTTTCACTGAGACATGGCTGGGAGACGCGGACAAGAACGAGGATCTACGCATTAGCGGCTTTGGGTGCCCTGTGCGCATGGCACCGCTTCCTCAGCCGCTCACGTGATCGCGGAAGTGACCAATAGACTCGATGCTCTCTCACCTGATGCTCCAAAATTTGTTATGGGAGATTTTAACCACTGCCAGATACACAAGACACTGAAAACATATGAGCAGTATATTACTTGTGCAACAACCATGAACAATTCCACCATTGACTTATGCCTCGGCTCAGTGCCTGGTGCTTTTAAATCCGTGCCAATGCCTGCTTTTGGAGCGTCTTACCACAATAGTGTCCTCCTGTTACCTACCTATAAAGCCATCTGTAGGCGACAGGAAAGGATTGTTAAGACGGTGAAATGCTGGACTGAAAATGGCATTGCCAGCTTACAAGCTTGTTTGGAATGCACAGACTTGGATATGTTTTATAGTTCCTGCCCTGATTTAAATGAACTTACACAAACTGTGTCATCTTATATATCGTTTTGTGTGGACAGTAATATTCCCTGTAAAAACATTACGCTATTCCCTAACAACAAACCATGGGTCACTAAAGAGTTAAAAAGTGTTCTGAATAAAAAGAAACGCATTTTTTATACAGGGAGTAGTCAGGAAAAGAAAGAAAGAAATAGAGAAGTGAGGAAGGGGATAAGGAAAGCTAAAATTAAGTATAAGGATAAGGTGGAACACAAGTATAGCAGTGGGGATCTTCGTGCAGCTTGGAGGGGAATCAAAGCAATGTCCTCAGTTACTCAGGGAAGCGGAGACAGTAGGAAACCTGTAACAATTAGTGGAATAAATGATGCTGATCTCCCAAATGCTTTTAATATTTTTTATTCCCGTTTTGAAAAACATGACTTTTCTGAAAATATTTATTGCTTGAGACAGTCTCTATTTTCTCAAAATGAGGCTACCATCAGTCAGGAGTGTGTCAGGGACCATCTGAATAGGGTCAATATCAGGAAGGCCCCTGGACCTGATCTTGTCTGTGGGCGGACACTACGCTATTGTGCCGATCAGCTGAGTAGCGTCCTCCAGCACATCTTTCAGATGTCACTGGACAGTAGTGTAGTCCCCTCTCTCTGGAAATCATCCAAAGTGATCCCAGTTCCAAAGATTAGCAAACCTATGCAGTTAAATGATTTCAGGCCTGTTGCTCTAACATCACTAATTATGAAGGTATTTGAGAAAATCATTAAAAACCGGGTACTATCAGCTGTAGAGGAAAAACTTGACCCCCTGCAATTTGCATATCGAGCGGGGAGGGGAGTAGAGGACGCAAAGCTTTTTATTTTGAATAATGTATACAAGCATTTAGAGAAACCAAAATCCCATGCCAGGCTTCTGTTTGCAGATTTTTCCTCAGCTTTTAATACAATGCAACCGCATATTCTAATAGACAAGGTCCTGTTTGATTTTAATTTGCCTCATCAACTTGTTTTATGGATTTTAGACTTCCTAACTGTTAGAGAGCAGAGGGTCTTTGTAAATGGGCATTTCTCAGAATCCTTATTGCTCTCTACAGGATCACCTCAAGGGTGTGTTCTTTCACCCCTTCTTTTTATCATGTACACAAATGACTGCAGAAGTGCCCAGGAGAGTAGCTATTTGGTCAAGTTTTCCGATGACACTGCGTTGTTGTCACTCCTCCAAGGTCCAGTATCTGACCACGCGAATGCTCTGACTGATTTTATCTTATGGTGTGATAACCATTTTCTTAATTTGAATGTATCAAAAACCAAAGAATTAATTATTGACTTTAGGCGGAAGAGAGATACTGCTTCAGAGAGCATTATTTATAATGATAAGGTGGAAATTGTTTCATCATATAAATACTTGGGCACTGTTTTTGATGACCATCTTAAGTTTGATATAAACAGTGCTGCCATTGTGAAGCGAGGGCAACAGAGAATTTATCTTCTCCGCAAACTAAAATCCTTTTCTGTCTCGCCAGTCATCCTGTGTAGATTTTACCAGTCTTTTATTGAGAGTCTCTTAAGTTTTTCTTTTATTTGTTGGTTTCACAACCTGACAGTCAAAGACAGAAATAGCCTGAACTATATTGTGAATATCTGCTCTAAAATCATTGGTGTGAAACAGAGAGACCTCACTGTTCCCTATCGAGGGAACTCAACACTGCGTCGATAAAATCGACTCTTTGGGGACGCTCCCTAAGCGTGCGCCTCTGAAGTATGAATGAAACTAATCCAATCCTGATTGGTGTTGCGTCGTGACGTAACATGTGACGGCATACCCGGAAGTATAAAAGTGACGCTGTCACAACACACACTAGCTTTCGCTCTTCAGCAAGCGCTTTATGTTGAAACTGTCTGTCTTATTTGGTGTTGTTTGTCTTATTATTGAAAGAAAGTATGGCCAGTGAACAATTCAAGAGGTGTGTGCATCCCTGCCCTCGTTTCATCACGGGTGGGGACGCACACTCTCTATGTGTGTATTGTTTGGGAGTGCAGCACGCACGGGCAGCTCTCGAGGGGGCTGCTTGTGAAATGTGTGAGGCTTTGCCTATTAGAGTGCTGCGCTCCCGGCTGGCGTGCTTTGACGAGCACGGTCAGGCTCGCGTTCCCCAGGGTTCCGGTCCCGCATATGTCGAGGCGATGCGGCGACTGAGATCCTGGGGTTCGCAGCGGGATCTGGCGGAGGAGAGTGAGAATGCTGAGGCATTTTCTCGCTCGCCATCGGCTGGTCCCGCAGCCTCTGAGAGTGGTGTGGGAGCCCGCGCTGCGGTTTCTCCTACCCGCGATCAGGTCCCGGTGCTTGAGCTGTCTACTTCTGAGGAAGGGGACGTGCTCAGCATCGATGCGGACGACCGTGATCTCAGCACGCCATCACGCGGCCTGGGTTATGAGGAGCTGGTGGAGGTTGTGACACGCGCTGTGGCCAGACTAAACATCAGCTGGCCACAACATGAGCAGGAAACGCAAGTCACCAGTAAAATGGACGAGCGTTACCTGCAGCGCAGGTCACAGCCTCACCGCCGGGTCTGCCGTTTTTCCCTGATCTCCATAAAGAGATCTCGAGAACGTGGGAAAGACCGCATTCGTCCCGTATTTCGAGTCCCAATGTAATAGATTACAGCAATGTTATGGGGGCTCGAGATATGGGATATGGGAAGATGCCGAAGGTGGAGGAGGCTTTAGCGAGCTATCTCTCTCCCGAATCGGCGTCTTCCCTAAAGACCCG